TAAGGGAGGACCAAATCCTAAAAATGAAAGTTAAGGGAGGGCCAAATTAAAATAAAAATGGTTTGTGGAGTCAAATTTGGTTATAATAACCAAAGTAGTTTGAGAGATCAAATCCGTTAATTATTTACAAAATTAATATTATTGTAAATAATTAATATTAATGTATAACTACAATTAATTAATAATTAATAGTTAATATCTATTAATATGGTAATAACTTATTTTATTTAATATTTATTAATATAGTAATAATTATTTTTTATTTAATATTTAATAATAGTTAATATTTATTATTATTATTATTATCAATAATAAATAATAGTTAATATTAATGAAGGTTAAAACTGAAAAAAATCATTTTAAAAGATTCCAAACAAAACCTCGTCGTACTTTCGAAGCGCAAACATTTTTGTCCATATTTTTCGACCACGATATTTTTTTACTTTAATTTTGTTTATAAAAGATATTTTGTTCTCAATATAAAATATCAAAATAGAAGCCATATTACAAACTTAAAATACTAAAAGGGGAAAATAAATCAATTAAATATTAAAAAAATTAATTAAAAATTACAAAATTTAACAACTCGAAGAGAGAAATATGGCCGATTCCCTCCCTTAATTACGATCCATATATTGTTTTTTTTAATTCATAAAAATGGATATTATTAATTAATATTAAGATTTTCTTTCAATTACTTTATTCCAAATTTTCCATCCCCATTTTATGTAAAAGTTATATTATTTTTTAAATTTTAACAGTTATATTAAATTTTTCTCTAAATTTTATGTCGTATATTTTGGAGGTGCTCTTAATACCTTAAGGATTTGTTTGTTAGCTGTTTAATAAGCTTAAGAGGGCTAAGAGCAATGATATAAAAAGTGACTTATTTAGTAAGTTTCTAGAAGAAGCTTTATGTATAAAGTCAAATTTTTTATTGTTTAGCAAAAATAAGCTAATTTATTGAAACGTTGCTTAGAATAACATTTTGGTAGTTTATTGTCACTTTTTTCAATTATAACTCTCATTACCATTAATTATTATTTATTACTGATTAATTTTAAATATAAAATTTAAATATTACTAATAAATCTTGATTAATACAAATTAAAAATTAAT